TACCAGGGAAGCCCATTACATACAAAACATGGGTGAACCTTACAAGCATGATACTGAAAGAAGCCAGATACAAGAAAATCCATACCGTATGTTTACATTTGTATAAAATAGTGCAAAAACAAGCAAAGCTAATCCACGGTAAATATTGGTTGACTTTGGAGGGAAGGAGTGGGATAATGATAATGAGAGGGCAAGAGAGGGCTTGCTGACAGTGTTCTATAGCCTAGGTGGTGTTTCCATGGGTGTGTTCAGTTTGTTATTATTCATCAAGGTTTGGATTTTCTGTGTGATAGTATACTTCAGAAAACACGTTTGTTGAAAAACAAAACAAACATTGATAAGTCTGCACTGCTATTTAAAAAGGGAGAAAAAGACGAGTAATTCTCTTGTGGTCAGTGATTGGGACTCTGCACCTTAACTGCCAAGGATGCAGATTCGAGTCCTGGTTGGGGAACTAATATCTCACAAGCCGCGCAGTGTGGCCAAAAAAGAAAAAGGGAGAGAGAGAAACATTTCTTTGGTCAACTTAGGAGGTAACTAGAACATCATCTCTAATCCGGATATCGGCAGCTAAAGGGGAAATCTTAAGCAATGAATCACCTCTCTTGTGCAATTTTTCAGTGTAACTAAATAGCCCTAATTGATGGAGGGAAAGTTTTTCTTACCAATTATTCCCGATGAATAAACTTAGAATAAATGATAGAATTAGAAAATCACCAAATGAGTACATTGTAATGAAATAATCTAGTCAAAGATTTTTGTACTAGTTATCTCTTGTTGTGTAACACATTACCCCCAAAATGTAGCAACTTAATACAACCATTTTTTATGTCACAGTTTCCATGGGTCTGGAATCTGAGTGTGGTTTAACTGGATGCCCCTGACTCAGGCTTTCCCATGAGGTTGCAGTCAAGCATTCAGCTGGGACTGCAGTAGTCTCAACCCTTGGTAAGCGGAGGGTGTGCTTCCAAGCTCACACTTGCAGCTGTTGACACAGCTCAGGTCCCTGCTGGCGGTTGTCCGGAGATGTCAGTTATTTGCCACAGGGACCTCTTCATAAAGCATCTCAGAATATAACAGCTGGTTTTCCCAGGAGCTAGCAAGTGAGTGACAGCAAGAGAGAGAATGCAAGATAATGTGCACAGTTTCTTGAAACAATGTCAAAGTGACATACCATTACCTCTGCTGGGTTCTGTTAATAGAAACAGTCATTAAGTTCAGCCTACACTCAAGGCGAGGGTGTAAATTTACACAAGGATGTAAATACCAAAGAGGTGGGGATCACTGGGAGCCTCATAGAGGATGCCTACCATTGTCATCAGTGGATGGAAACCACTGGATGAGAGGCTGATGGGGAACTTCATCATCAGAGGCACCAGCACCTGAATTCACTCCTCAATCTATTATAAAGGGGACAACCAGCTATTGTTTGCCTTCTGTTGTGAAGCAATATGAAGTACACAACATCATCTCATGAAGTATCCTTTGCAAAAAGAGTTGAGTCTAAATCTAATCAAGCCTTTAGCAAACATTCAATTTACAAGAAATATGGTTGACAGAAGAAAAAGTAGATAACATCATGAGGATAAAAATCTAGATTAAGGGACCTTCTATAGGAGAATGGATCTATTTATTCAGTAAGTCAACTGCATGGGGGAAAAAATGAAATCCTCTATATTAAAAGAATCTTAAGAGAAGTAACGGAGAAGGCAATGGCAACCCACTCCAGTACTCTCGCCTGGAAAATCCCATGGACGAAGGGGCCTGGTAGGCTGCAGTCCATGGGGTCGCTAAGAGTCGGACACGACTGAGCGACTTCACTTTTACTTTTCACTTTCATGCATTGGAGAAGGAAATGGCAACCCACTCCAATGTTCTTGCCTGGAGAATCTCAGGGATGGGGGAGCCTGGTGGTCTGCCGTCTGTGGGGTCACACAGAGTCAGACGTAACTGAAGCGACTTAGCAGCAGCAGCAGCAAAAGAAATAAAAACCGGTCTTCTCTTGTGGCTCAGCTGGTAAAGAGAAGTAAAAACCAAATGCAATATTTATCTTGCTTGGATACTGATCAAAACAAGTCAACTAGAAAGTATTAAGTTTGTGACAATAAGGGGACATTGAACATAGACAGGATCAAGGAATTTTTGTTCATTTTTTGGGAATGATAATGGCATTGTGACTGTGAAAGAAAATGTCTACATTTTTTCTGAGTTGCAAGCGAAAACATATAAGGATGAGGCCATAAAACATGAGGCCTAACGTTTGCTTCAAAATAGTTCAGTAGACACAGCAAATACAACAACAGAAGGAATAGATGAGACAAGTGTGATAAAATCTTGATGATTATTGAATCTCAATCTAATAATGGGTGTATACAGGCTCATTATATAATTTTATTTATGTTTATGAATGTTTAAACACTTTCATAATAAATATGGGAAGAAAAGATGTCAGGACTAGATGGTTTTATAGCTGAACTCTAGTTAGATTTTAAAGAATAAATTTCTATTATTATTTAGGTATCTATGACCTCAAAAAAAGGATGAAAATTCCCTAATTCATACTGTGAAGGTAGTATAACTTAAAAAATATCTTTGGAACTGTTAGGGGAAGCACACTGACTGAAACTGCCCACCCTGGTCAGGCACCATAGTAACTATTTGCATGAGTTGTTTTAGGACAGGAGGTTCTGGTAAGGAACGCGGAACTAATAAGCCTTCACCAACCAGAAGAGTTCGGGAAAGGTCAAAAGGAGACACCACATGTCCGACCACCTCCCAGAATCCTTCTGTCTGGCATCCATCTTGGCTGAACAAGGCGTGCACCGCTGGGAAGGACTCTGAGTCAGAATGACTGGCTAAGGACAACCCGGAAACTAATCCCATCACCATAAAACCGAGGCTGCAAGCCACGTGACAGAGCAGTTCTCCTGGGTTCCCTTACCCTCCTGCTCTCCACCCAGGCGCCCTTTCCCAATAAAATCTCTTGCTTTGTCAGCATGTGTGTCTCCTGGACAATTCATTTCCGAGTGTTAGACAAGAGCCCAGTTTCGGGCCCTGGAAGAGGTCTCCCTTCCTGCAACAGAACTGTCACATGCATGAAGAGAAGTTTACAGTTTTAAGTGTACAGCTTGAGGAATTTTTGCACACTGAACTTAGTCACAAAGAAAAAAACAAAATATTATGTGTAGCCCAGAAACTAGACAGTACTCCTGATGAAGACCCCCTCTATTTTTGAACTAAAATATGATTTTAAAAAATAGTGTAAAAATGCACTGCTATATATAAAATAGGTTAACTACTAAGAACCTACCGTATAGCACAGGGAACTTTACTCAGTACTCCATAATGGTGTACATGAGAAAAGGACCTTAAAAAAGAGTGAATATATGTATATGTATAAACTGATTCACTTTGCTCTACACCTGAAACTAACACAATATTGTCAATCAACTAAACTCCAACAAATTTTTTTTAAAATAGTGTGAAAATGAAAACTATAGAATAATTTTGGCTTCCTTGATGACTCAGCGGTGAAGAAAATGCCTGCCAATGCAGGAGGTGCAGGTTCAACCCGAGGGTCAGGAAGATCCCCTGAAGAAGGAAATGGCAATCCAGTCCAGTATTCTTGCCTGGGAAATTCCATGGATGGAGGAGCCTGGTGGGCTACAGTCCATGGGGTCACAAAAAAGAGTTGGACTTAGCGACCAAACAACAATACAGACAAATTTCACCTACATACAGGCAAATTTTCTAAGTAATATAATAGGAAATAGAATCCAAAATTATATTTTAATATCCATATACACATATACAAATATTATTAAAAATTTAATTGCTCACTATTATTTCTTATACTCTGAGTTCTTGCTAAAGTACATATTCTACTAATAGTTTTTCAGTAATAGATTGTGGATAGTAAGTGATTTTAGCTCTCATACGTATTAAAATGTATTTATTTTTATCCCTACTCTTTAAAAAGAGTTTAGCTGGTTAGATAATTCCAGATTTACTGTTTTTCCTCAGGATTCTGAGTATATGGCACCATCACCTTCTGACATCTTCTATTAATGAAAGTTCCACTATTGATTTGTCATTTCTTTGTATGTTATCCATCTTCTCTCTTATGCAGATAATATTTTCCTTTCTGGCTTAATGCTCTAATTTTGCTACAGTGTTTCTAGTATAGGTTTATTTTTATTTTCTTGCTAATCACTCAGTGAGATTTTTCAATTCAAGATTTCACATGCTTCTTCATTTCTGGAAAATGATGTCATTTATTTTCAAGCATCATTTCTTTTCCAGTCTCCCTATGTTATTCTGCAACTTACATTGGATATATTTCTGAACTTCTAACTCTACACTCTATTACTTTTAACTTCTTTCATAGCCTTCTCCTTTATCTTACTGTGCTATGAAGCTTCTCTCTAGTGCTATCTTCCAACTCATTAATCCTCTCTCTTTAAGTTATCTAGTATGCCACTGAGATAATTTATTGAGGGTTATCACTATTATTATTTTGTTTTCAAAGACAAATATTTTTTCCCAAGATTTCCAATTTGTTCTTTTTCAAATTTTGTTCTTGCTTCATACATGCTAGGTCCTTCCTCATGCTTTCGAGCAGTTAGCGTGTTATTTTTTAAGTCCTCAGAATGATCTTTATAACTTCAGTTGTCAATTCTTCCATTTGTTGAATTTGCTATTTTTATGATAATGGACTTCTTCATATGCCTAAAATATTTTAAGAGCTATTCTTGCTTGAGAGTTTACCTTCATATGCACTCTTCTTTTCATACGATTTAAATTACCTCAGCCCTGGTTCAGACGGGTTTCACCAGTCCAAACCAGGCATTATATTAGCAGATCAAGTTTGATCTTTTACTCCATAATAATGGTTTAATATTGAACCTTACATGCGTATTTTATAGACTCAGCTCCTATTTTCCATGGGGCTGCTGCTTCTTTGCTTTTCATGTATAAATTCACTGCTCTCAAAAGGAAGATCTCTATCCAAGATGTTTTAATGAACTACATATTTCATTTAAGAAGGCAACAGTGTTTTTGGGTAATCAACTTGAGGATAAATGACCAGAGACTTATGAACTAGAGGTGGGGAAAGAGGATGCTGCAACTGCTGGCTCCCCACAAATCTCTTCTCGCTGTCATTCTTAATGTCCACAAGCTCATTCAAAACGCAGCGCTTCCACTTCACAAGCCCCTTGTAAAATTTCCATTCCAGATCCCTTAGATCCATGAATTGTTTTGCTGAAAAGAATCATATTTTCAAAGAATCACACAATGGCCTTATTTAACCCTCAGTTACTTAGAGATGCTTCATGAACAGAATGAACCTTTGATGAATTCAAGTCCCCGTCTCCCTAGTGTTTCTGAACTTTCTGAAGAAAGCTGTTTCTGAAGTTTTGTAAACTAAGGAGGAACCTATATTGTTCATCTCATCTAAAGCCATCCTCCATGTGGGGAATAGAGTGGGCCTGGCTAGGGCTGGTGTGGACCCTGCGGGGCCATCACAGGTAGAAGTGTCTCCTCTGGTGTGAATTGAGAGACCAGAGTACAGAGGTCTACAGGGCATAGAAAAGGACCCTAATGTGTGGTTGAGGTGAGTGGAAAGACTGATTGCAGTACATTTGTTAGTATCATTTCTCCCAAGACACTAGTGTGAGCCCTGAGTATAAAGGGGCAGTGGTTTAGATAGAATCTGGTTGTTTTCCCTTCACTTTCGGGACCTGCCGGCTTAGGGCATCATTAGTTTCAACCTCTTCATGGAGGCAATGAACCATGGAAAACTCAGGCCAACATCTACTATGCAGTCCCCTCCTCATCAGCCATTGCCCTTTCCCTTCCCTTCAGTTCTTTTCATGGCTAGTAAGGATGTGTTCATGGCTAAAAACAAAAAGAACAATATAAAAGCAAGATCTTAGGCAGGGACTTGGGTGTAAAACCTGAGGCCAAAGAGCAAATAGGTGTAAGGAATATCAGGAGACCAGGAGAAAATGGGTCAAGCAAACAAGCAGGCAGGCTGGTCTGTTTCTCGGGGCTGACTCTAGCATCTTCTCTGTATGGTGATATTTGAGCAGGTCACCTATGGCCGAGATACTGCTCCTGCCCTAGTCAGGCCCCCATCCCTGGGAAAGGTTTGAGTTTCTCCAGGTCTGCGAGATAGGAAGTCTGTATAAATGTTCTACACATGCCTGAAGTAGGAGACAGGGGCCAGGGGCTGTTCTTTAATTCAGATCTGGCCATAGTGTTCAACAGCCTGTCCTAGGGTCCAGCTGCCAAGGTTGAGGGAATTTGACAAGATCTCAGCAGGCCTGTAATAGCAGGAAGGGCAGGGATATTGCGTGAGGTCATTCACTTCAGTTCAGTTACTCAGTCGTGTCTGATTCTTTGCAACCCCAAGAACTGCAGCACACCAGGCCTCTCTGTCCATCACCAGCTCCTGGAGTCCACCCAAAACTCAGTCCATTGAGTTGGTGATGCCATCTAACCATCTCATCCTCTGTCAACCCCTTCTCCTCCTGCCCTCAATCTTTCTTAGCATCAGGGGCTTTTCAAATGAGTCAGCTCTTCGTATCAGGTGGCCAAAGTATTGGAGTTTCAGCTTCAACATCAGTCCTTCCAATGAACACCCAGGACTTTAGGATGGACTGGTTGGATCTCCTTGCAGTCCAAGGGACTCTCAAGAGGTGAGGTCATAGAATGCATGATATTGATTAGTGAAGAGCTTTATGTTGTGATCTGTGGTGGACACTATGGGTTGGTTCACTCTATATCGAGTATATTCCTTTTCAGCCTTCCTCTCCTCAGAAAATGGGAAGCTAGGATCTCTATTGACCAGCATTGCTTGCAGTAATGGGTGGCTATTAGACACAATTCTGGCCAAGAATATGTGGGGAGAGGTCACCTGAGAAGGGATGTTCTGAGGAAGCATTGCTTTCCTATTAAAAGAGGACAGAAGTAGCCAGTGTGGCTCTTAGCTCTGCTTCCTCCCTGAAATGTATCCATAGCACCTGGAGGTATATACAATTTTAGCCATGAAGACAAAAACCACACAAAAAAAGATGGGGAGCATGGGTTCTTGACAACACCAGAAAGCATTGCTCTTGCCCTTGTCTGCCTCCAGATGGAAAAATTTTTTAAAACTCATTTGATTTTTTTGTTATTTTTCATAAAACACATGTCTAGTCTACATAGTCCTATAGGATTTATCCAGAACTAGAGCAAGAGAATCTCATGTGATAAGAGAAGAAGAAAATGTCAGCACCCACACCCTTTTCCTCCCCTGGTTCTTGGAGCTAGTAAGGATGTGTTCTATAATATTCATTGGTATATCAGGAGCCCTAAAGTTCTCCTGGACTGAGAAAGATTTAGGGACTGGCTGACTGATACAATAATAGCAATAGCAAGCAATATAGAACAGCAAAAGATGAACTGTTACAATTAAACCTAAGTAATTACTGGATATTCCTCATATGGATGCCTACTTGGCTTCATGTGTATTCCTTGAATAGACAGGCCATGTCTCAGAGATTCTGCCTCCAAGATCTCAGGAAATGAATTCATGGAGGCAGAAGAGAGATTTTAACACAGAGTCTGAAAGGGCAGATGAGAGAACTCCAGAGAAAAGGACAATTAGGCCCCTATGGGTGGCAAAGCTGTAAATGTTTCAGACCTATCAAACATTCAAAGCCTTCAGCACTTCTTTAGTAGGCATTTTGCAAATTCTTCTTATTGATTCTCAGTACTTTCTATGCTTTTTAGTCTCTGGGCATACCTCACTTATGTACTTTTGTGGACTATCTACTTTCCTACAGTTTTCCTAATTTCTACTCTGCCTGATCTCCATAGCATACTAAGTGTGACTCTGCAAAGGAATTTGAGACCTGAATTAGGCTCTGTCAAGACATCAATGCAGGGAATTACAGCAAAGATTCTTCCAGCATCTTGGACCAAACATGATCAGAGTACTCAATACATTTCTTTAAATATGTTCCTTCAGACACTACTTTTAATAGAACAATGGAGGCGCCAAAATATTTGCTGGTTTTGAGTCAAGAACTTACTTCAGAGGGTCTCAAATATTTTACCATTGATTTAACATATTTTTATAGCTACAGAGAATAACAAGATATTACTTTCCTTGCTTACATAACGAAAATGGAAATCTTAAGAAGACACCCTATCCTTGCTAAAAGTAACCATTGTATGTTTTATAACATTTTAAACTTTCTCTGTGTGGTCTTTGGCTTTATATGGGTACCTCCCTATTCAAAACTCAGATACGGCTCACTTAGAGTTCATTCACTCAGAGCTCCCTCATACTCTCCATTAAAAAAAAAAAAGGAGGAAAGGAAGGAAGGAAGAAAAAGAAGAAGAAAGAAAGAAATAAGAAAGAAGAAAAAAATCAGATATGAAGTTTCTTTCTGTTGTTTGTGTCCTGTTGATAGCCCTGATAGAGATGCAATAATAACGAAAGGATAAACATTTGTGAAAAAAATATTTTTAAAACCCTCCAGCTGCAGTTGAGGTAAAATACTTAAGAAACAGAAGCCATTGCTCCATAGATACTTGACTTATTCATCAACCTGGAAATGATAGAGTCCAAGTTTAACCGGCTCCCTTTACAAACGTTTAAATGCTGTGCCTCCGGAGCACACCCCGTCAGGGGTGAATCTGAGACGTGGCCCTCAGAGTTGGATTCCCTGCTCTCTATTTCCCCCATCCCTGTGGGCAGCGGGTGCATCAGCCCTGAAACTCACAACTGCATGACTCCCTTGAATCAAGCGCTCTGGGAACCAAGGTGCAATTTGCAGTCCGAGTCCACTCATTTTCTTCCACATGGCCTCATCTGTTTAGATTACCTGGATCGATGAGGAAGTATGTAGGGGCTTTCTCTTCAAAGATAAACTTCTCTGGCGAGACACAGGGAAGGGCCAGCCTGCACAGTATCTTGGTGCTCTGAATCTTCTTCCGTATGGTGACCACTGACGCGGATTTGGACTGATTGATGAGAATCTCATAAGGAAAAGTGTGCACGGGAGGAGGGATCCCATACTCAGAGATTCTCTGCTGGGATTTGGAGAGTCTCTCCACGGGGGAGAGGGACCTGGGAAGCAAGCTGCGGTGCAGAAGCTCAGTCATAGACTCCGGCCGCTCTTCTCTTCTCACCACCTTGCACATGAAAACAGGTAAGGAGTCATCTGCTCTCCCGTCAGTCCCCCCGGTTCCATCCAGGAAATGCTTTTGACTGAGCATTCTCTGTGCTTCACCAGGTGAAATAGAGTGCATTTTCAGGAGATTCAATTTCTTGTTCTCCTTATTAAAATTCTCAACAAATGCATATAATTCTGGCAGCTGTAGAAAAAAAAAGTGGGGAATCAGGAGATTGATCAAAATGTCATTGTCTGGTAGACTCAAAAATCCTAGAACAAATAGGACAACAATCCTACAAACAGAAACATCTATCTTTGAAAGATAACTTTGCCTAACTAACTAAACAAAATCAATCGTGGGTCGAATTTGTTGAATTCAGAAGTTTGACAGAGGGTCAAATCATAGATTGAGTCCCAAAAGGGTATTATTTTGACACATTGTTAAATCCTGTGAACTCAAAGGAGCCCATTAGACTTGGATTCTAATGTCTTTAATATCTTTCCTACTTTAAAATTCTATGAGTGATTAGGGAGAGAGACTGCTGTGGGCGTTGGTGACCTCTGTTTTGAGTAAGGCTATATTTCTTTCTCGCTTTCCTGCCAGCTCAACAGTAAAGAATCTGCCTGTAATGAAGAAGATGGGGTTTGATCCCTGGGTTGGGAAGATCCCCTGGAGAGGCAAATGGCAACCCATTCCAGTTTTCTTGCCTGAGAAATCCCATGGACAGAGGAGCTTGGCGGGCTACATTCTATGGATTTGCAAAAGAGTCAGACACGACTGAGCAACTCAAGAACAACATATTTCTTTTGAAGGAAGAAAGGGAGCTGAGCTAATCTAAATATCAAAACCTCACCCTGGTGTCCCAAGGACTCGAATGTTCAGGAATGCCAAGCAAAGGAAGCTGTAATTGTCCTTATTCACTGAATATTTTACCAAAGCACATGGGTTTGTGGAGTGTTTGACAATGGTTGTTGGCAGAAAAGACAGTAAGTGTTCTTTCAGAGTACTCTTCTCCATCTAAAATCCTGTATTGAAAAAATAAAAATAAAGTTCCTGGAGTATCCTGCCTACTAATCCTGTTATTCCTAACAGGCTTCTGAGGCCTTTGGAAGGCCAGCAAGGCTGAAGTGAGAGCCTGCTCTTGGGCAGCCGAGTTTCCCTTCAGTCCTGGTCAACTCTCTTGCAGGAGCAGCAGATGGGAAGGAGGCTAAAGCTGGCACAGGGCTCCTTCACAGGCATTGCCATCACCATGAAGACACATGAGCACCCCTGCAGGCAAGTGCCGCATGTTGCTGTGACAATAAAGGGTGAGTCACTGGAGTGCGATTTTTGTGTTCTCCATGGCCCATCGCTGGGTAAACAGGAGTTGGGATTTGAACAATTCTTGAATGTCAAGTGTCCTGTACTCTTAAGTACTTACCGAGCATGTCAGAGATTCATCTTCCTCACCATCTTTACTCAGATCCATGTCTCTATTGAAGGACATTGTGCCTTGACTTGAATCTCTGATTCCTAAAAGATCAAAATAAGGGAAGACCAAAAGAAAGATGAAAAATCAGATAAACTACAAAGAGAGAAAGGTAACACTTTTAAGTCTTCAGAAGTTTATAAGACCTTTAAATTTTATACCATTTAAATATTTCTTTTGTTGTCTCCTTACTCTGTCAGTCAAATTAATGATGTTCCAACCAAATCTTTTTTATGAAACACCTCAAATTTTTATGTGACATGTATTTTTAGGCATTTAATACTAGTTCAAAGAATTCTATATGGACTGTTTGATTTTCTTAGGTCTATATTTTTTGATCAACTTCAGTTCCTCTGAATATTAACTCACCTACCTCCTTATCCAGAAAAATATTTTTTATTCAGGAAAAAAAGGCTAACAATAATGAAAACAATAATTAATATTTTGAAATAATTTGCTTTGGGCCCCATATAGAGGAGACACTTAACAGATGGGACTTTGTTTAACCCCTTCTTGAGAGACTAAAAATGGCCACAGAACATTTACAATTAGCCTCATGGATAAGAGGTGTGGTGCCTAAGTATGCCCCGGGCTTCTCTAGTGGTTCAGACAGTAAAGAATCTGCCTGCAGTGTGGGAGACCTGGGTTAAATCCCTGAGTTGGGAAGGTCCCCTGGAGGAGGGCATGGCAACCCATTCCAGTATTCTTGCCTGTAGTTTCCCCATGAACAAGGAGCCTGGTGGGCTATAGTCCGTGGGGTCACGAAGAGTCAGACGTCACTGAGTGACTAAGGACAGCACAGTCTGCTCAACATTTGACTGTGGGCTGGCCTAATGCTTGGCTCTGACTGGCAACATGAGCCAAGGCACTGAAGAGCTTTGCAGTCTCACTGCACACTCTGGGAGGCCTGAGCCACCCCGTCAGGGGATACAGCTACCCTTCTGGAGAAACCATGTGGAGTCAAGACCCAGCACCAGCCTGTGTAAATGGGGCCATCTTGGATTATGATGGCCCCAGATGACCTCAGCTGCACCAGAAACTTGAGATGAATTCAGATGGAGAAGAACCGTCAGCTGAGTCAGCCAACTCCAGAATCATGGCATGTAATGAATTACAGTTGTTTCTAGATGCTGCATTTTGAGTGGATTGTTACAAAGCAATAAATACGAGATAGACCCCATGGTAGTTAAATTCTTGGTTTAAATTATTCCAGTGAATTATTCAGTTGGTAGGTAGGGTATGTGAGAAAACATCTTCTTGGGCACACTTGTATGCTAAACGGTGGGTACGGTAACTGGGAGGAGTGTCAGAGACGAGTCCAGAATGCTCATTTGGTATTTGGGGATGAAGCAAAAGCAGTTAGGTGCTTCCTTCTTCCCAAGCAAAGTGGGAAAATTCAGGATGAAGGGTATATACTTTAATATACATTTATTTGAATATATACTCATTTTGGGATATTTATTATTTGAAGATATCTACATATATCTATTGGAAAAGACCCTGATGCTGGGAGGGATTGGGGGCAGGAGGAGAAGGGGATGACAGATGATGAGATGGCTGGATGGCATCACCGACTTGATGGACATATGTTTGAGTAAACTCCGGGAGTTTGTGATGGACAGGGAGGTCTGGCGTGCTGCGATTCATGGAGTCACAAAGAGTAGGACATGACTGAGCGACTGGACTGAACTGAACTGAATATATATCTAAGATATAGATTTATATCTTAATATATTATTGTC